CACAGACACACAGACACACAGACACACAGCACACAGACACACAGACACACAGACACACAGACACACAGACACACAGACACACAGACACACAGACACACAGACACACAGAAACACAGACACACAGACACACAGACACACAGACACACAGACACACAGACACACAGACACACAGACACACAAACACACACACACACGCACACACACACACATACGCAACACACGCAACACAGAACAGACACACACAACACACAACACACCACACACAACACACAACACACAACACACAACACACAACACACAACACACACACACACACGCAACACAGACGACACACAACACACACACACAACACACACAACACACAACACACAAACACACAAACACACAACACACAACACACAACACCCAACACCCAACACAGACACACACACACACGCAACACAGACGACACGCAACACACACACAACACAGACGACACACAACACACACACAACACACACACAACACACACAACACACAACACACAACACACAACACACAAACACACAAACACACAACACACAACACACAACACACACCACACACCACACAGCTCACAACACACCCACACCCACACGCCCACGTACACGCACACGCGCACGCACAACACACACAACCGGCGGCGCGCACACCCACGCGGAGTGCGCACGCATATTTACATGTCTAAATCACCCTGTTTTGCACTGCTTTGATGCTGACCAGAGTATCGCTTGCATGTGGGGTTATCCGGTCCTTTAATGATATCATATTCGAGTAGCATGGAATACAAAGTAATATCGTCTATATACAACACAACATAAGCTCATACAACAGAATGTCACATGAGATAAGATAATACAGCGTAGAACAGCATAAGATTAACTCAGATTATAGAATGCAACAAGATATTAGATGCTGAAGCAAAACCTGATGAAACCATGACATATTCTGAATGTAACAACGTAAACCTAAATATGACATATTGCGCTATGGTACACTACCACGTATGATAATACCATATAGCGTGATATGACAGAATATCTCATACCGAAATATATTGTAGTAGAATGTAAGATACTGTCATATAGCGTAAACTCATGTGGTACAATGCATTACCGTGTTAAATGTTACAATAAGACATGACATGATAAAATCAATGTAATACATTGTACTACTGTAATGTAACATTAAGACAACATAATAGTATGATAGAAACAACATAATCTACTGACGGGCTACCACACAAAATGATACAAGACAACATGGCAAAACCTAATACAACATCACATCGCAGCGCAAGACATAACCGGTACAACATTGTGACTGTTGCAACAGTGTATGAAATCTTGTACTGTGCTTTAGTAGAGAGCAAACTATTGTAACACAATATCAGACAGACAGACAGACAGACAGACAGACAGATGGACATACAGGCAAACAGACAGACAGACAGACACGTTACATACCTGTATGGATGGATGCACGCGCGCAAGCATGCAGGAATTGCAAATTCTTTCGGGCACATGCAACTACACGACTGAATGACTGGGAACACTCCGGGGCCACCTTGCCCTCCACATGCTCGATGTTGCCTCGCGCCCCCTGCTCGTCGAAGCCAGTGAACACCCGCGCGATGTTCATGATGTCCTCACAAAAAAAGATTCTACAGAAAATTCCACAACTGACGGTTCTGGATCCGAGAATTGAGTCTTCAGCTGTGTAAAGATATCCCACCGCGATTGCGTAACTCCAACCACCCCATCTTGTGCGCGTTATCGATGCCCGAGCATGATGCACTAGCTGCCAAACTCCCCCAAACTGCATCTTTCGACATCTCGTGCCACTCTGCAAGCATAATTTATCCTAAAGGGCACCTATGCACGGACCCCCGCCTCGTTGCTGTAAGTCGGGATCGGGCTGCCCTCGCTGTCCAGCATCCTTAAAACAAATTGTGAGCTTAGGGCCAAGGATCGGGCGGTATTCCAACGGCAAATTCAGGACGCCAAGTATCCGGGAGCCGTCGGGATTCAGACGCCAAAGCCCAATAGTGAAGAGCTGCATGATCTTGTCAGGGTAATCAATGGAGGGCATGATGTTCCGGCTGGGGACCTACGGACCTATGGTCTGCCTTGTCAACCTAGCACAGACTCCTTGGCTGTCCTCAGGATCCCCGGTGCCAAGGTTAGCTCACAAAAACCTACCAGATCTACCAGCACACACCTGCTCACTCGGGAGGCATAGAATCATAGAACGTCGCTAGCGAGATGTTGCGGGCACTGACCCACAAAACAGGGTGCTTGAAAAAACGCTACCAATCTGCCATTGAAGTTGGACAGGAGACTGTAGGACTCCAGGATTTAGCATGATGTCAGCTGGAGAAGAACTTTGCAAAAGTGCTCCCAAACTCGACATGCCGTCATCACGAAGCAGAAAGTGCACGTCGAAGTTTATGAGAGCTGTCGATTTTAGGTCTTTGGGAACTTCCAGAATCCCAGAATACCAGGCATTGTTTGTTCAGGCACGGCGGCTGCTGCTGCTGCTGCTGCCACGGCTGCCACGGCTGCTGGAGCAAGAGCTGCTGCTACTGCTGCGATACCGAAGAATCGAAGAGCGCGTCTTGGGTCAATTTAATCAAGCGTTCTAACACCGTTATCGTTTTGTGGGCTGCTCTGTTCTTTCTCCGAGGCCCTGGCTTCCTTCGGGCTTCCTCTAAAACCTGATAGCCTGGCCTGTTGCCATCCCTCAAGTGTGGTGACAAGCCCACTTCTGAGGCCTCACGTGCATAGTTTTCGTCCGGGTATGCGCCATCACTGTCGAAGGCCCGATTCCTCTTGTATGTGAGGTAGTCGCCCATGACCTGATGTACGGCATGGCATACATTGGTGATCAACAACTCAATGCATCTATGTGTAGATCGGGTCGGCTTTGCTCTGGCTTTCGTCCTCGTTAATTGCATCCAGCACTGTGAACGACTACCTATTCTACAGGTACATGTTGCAAAATCTGGCGGACGGCCAGGTAAGCATTGTACATTGCCATGCAAGCGGAAACTTACGCTAAACGGATCACATGACCTAGTGCAAGTTTTTCTGGCGACTGCCTTACACACCGAAATCCGAGTCAGGTGGCCGGACTGTACGTGACCTCGCGCAGGATGTCCCCGAAGCTCCCAAACGCATGCCGCACGAAGATGTCATAAAAGTGCACATACCTGTTCTGACATCAGGTTCCAGATGGGAGAACTTCCAAGATCCAAATGAATGCAGCGATACCACGTGCCAAACATTCCTCATACCTGACTCTGACAACACCACTCATCTCAACGTGCTTCCTGGCCACATCTCGGTTTGCCGTGCAGTGGCATCATCTGGCGCTACGACGAAGATCTGCGACGGAGGCGGTTCTGGTCTTCGAAACGTCAACAGCTGCTCCCATACCATGAGCATGGAGCCTAACGGCTCTGCCCGCCACAGGCCCTCATTGAAATCTGACCGGCTCCCTGGCTCCAGCGGTCCCGAACCCGAAGGTCTAATGTAATAGCTGCCAGTACAACAGATAAAGGTCAGGTCACTCCTGGCCACCTCGAAGCTAACCGTGAACCCCTCCAAAGAGGTTGGCACTCTGCAATTCAGATGCGAGACTTTGGGCATACAGCTTCTTTGCGACAGCTCACTGAATGAGCCTCGTCCCTAGCTAGAACATCGACTCTGAATGTAAGCCTGGTACATACCTTGAATATCGTAGTCTATGTCGTCGTCTACTCAGGCGAATCCAGTAGGTCCCCCCAAACTCAAAGCCTGGGCCAACGCCCACGCCATACGCTGGCGGAGCTGATCCGGGGCCTCCATCGGCTCCAGAAGAGGCGGGTGGGCGGTTACCGCTTGCAGCCTGTGTTTTGGGTTGGTTCCCCAGTTTGGATCGAGGAAAGCCTTTTCGACTTGGAGCCCAGGTTTGGTAATCCTTGTGCTCCTGGTTGCCATTGCTGTTCCTACTGGTTCTCTTCATCGTTTTATCGTAGACGTTGTCTAGCCTCAAACGCCAGCATGGTCCAGATGGAGGCCCGGCCAAGGTCGGGGACCTTCAGCAGGCAGGCCGAGAATCGGAGTGTCCGGCTTCGTGCTTCAGGGGCTTGGGAGTCACGTAAAAGCCCTCATAGGAGTTGAGAGGTTCGGGTCTGAGTTTGCGGCTTAGAGCCATTACAGCTGAGTGAAGGTTTTGTTTTGTGCATGGGCAGGGCAGGGGCCACGAAAGGACGTGGAATAGGCTTGGGGTTGCGGCTCCTCGGTTAGTGTCATTCGGCGGCGGACTACCCTCCAAGGTCGGCTTCAACTTCGCAGCTCACAGCTCTCTCCTGGAGGTCTTTCGGTCGACAGCTTGGGATGAGGGTTGAGGTTGCAGGGTGCAACCCAGAGACCTCTGCTGGTGTGTCGTAATCCACATCGAAGGCGGTGTCCAAGTGGTCCTGACGGCGGTCAATAGCCACAGAGCTGACGATATGAAACTGCGCTTGAAGATTGAAGTGTTGTCGCAGTCTTCTCTGGCAGGTGGTTTGGAGACTGCTGGCACATCGTTGCTTCAGCATTTGCGGAGTTTCTGAGCCAATAGGGACCCTGCAGAGCGAAGTCATAATTACACTCCCTGCGCCTCGGAAACGTGGAAGGAGTACTGATGGCCCGACTGCAGGTCGTTGGCCACCTGCATGGGATGACACGCTTCAGCCCAGCACTGTTGGGAAGTTCATGAACTCAGGTGATAGACTTGAAACCTTGACAGCTTGCGCGCCGTCAAAAAACTGCCGATGACCGTTCTCGCCCAGAAGCTCTCACTGACCGGAGTTTTGGAGGGAAATGTTTCGAGCAGAAGCCCAAGTCTGCTGCCTCTCCAGGCGAACCGCAAACTTCAGCAAAACCATCGAAGCTCTCCTTCGCATGAGATTTTCATGATCCGAAATACAGACAAGCGCAACAAGGTGATAGTTGCGCAGAGACACAATCACGAAATACCCAAAAGGCAGAGATGCAAGCGGACTACCATTCATGCATGGCAAACAGAAGGCTGCGCAGATAGACATGTGCGAATTATCATATATATATATATATAGATATATAGATATATAGATATATAGATATATAGATATATAGGTATATAGATATATAGATATATAGATATATAGATATATAGATATATAGATATACAGATATATAGATATATAGATATATAGATATATAGATATATAGATATATAGATATATAGATATATAGATATATAGATATAGATATGTGTGTGTACATATATATACATATATACATATATATATATATATATATATACATATACATATACATATACATATACATATACATATACATATGCATATGCATATGCATATGCATATGCATATGCATATACATATACATATGCATATACATATACATATACATATACATATGCATATGCATATGCATATGCATATGCATATACATATACATATACATATACATATACATATACATATACATATACATATACATATACATATATATATATATATACATATATATATATATACATACATATATATATAGACATATATATATACATATACATATACATATACATATATATATATATATACATATACATATATATATGAGCCCGATACCTTTAGGGTCTATTTAGCTAGCTTTCTTTATATACAATATCAAACGCCTAGCTAAATGATATCTACCCATATCGTGAATTCTACAAACCGATACCCGGAAAGTTTCACCCTGATTCGGACATATAACTTAATGCAGAGTTTGTCAATTGTAATGACATTGTACTACTACTACTACTACTACTACTACTACTACTACTACTACTACTACTACTACTACTACTACTAGGTATTCACCAAGAACCCCAGGAGACACGTGTTAGAATCCAGAAAACCAATAATCCTACACCTTATGTATTGACTGTGTTCCTGTTGGTAAGATTCCTTTTAAACACAATCTATAATCGGTAAAACTTCGATAATCCTAGTAGGCCGATGTCACTGCTAATTATACCGCCTGTGGCTTCTGTATTACTATTCCGAGCAAAGTAAGAGAACAACCCTTACAAACACTCATAATCATGTTAAGTATTGCCTGTAGCCCTGTGTTTAATCATAATAAACCCGGCTTGCAACTATAAAAGCAACAATAATCATGCTAAGTATTGCCTATAACCCTGTTGCTACTATTGCCATGAAACCTTGCCTAGAACCCCTGAAAGTAAAATAATAAGACTAGGTATCACCTATAACCTGGGCACACATAGGGGAGGCAGAGGGCTAAGCGCAGGCCCTGCCCAGGGGCGCGGGGGTGGGGGTGGGGTTGAGGCGGGTGTGGGGTGGGTTGAGGGTGCTGGGGCTGAGGCTCTCAAGGCTGAAGGGGATTTCAGCTGCAATTTGGGTTTAGGGAAGATACTGGAAATGAACCTTTAGAACTCAAGGTCATATGTTTGTTACAAGCCTTTGCAGGTTGTGAAATGACATGTCCGCAATGCCTAACATGGTTGTTTCGAGTTGTGAGCACACAAGGTATGTAGACACTACTTAACATGATTATTTCTGTTTCTACGTGCGAAAAGCATGCAGGTAAGAACGCATGTAGGCGCGAACAGCATGCAGGCAATACTTAACATCATTATTTCGGGCTGTGAGTAGCAAAGGCAATAGGCAATACTTCACATGTGTATTTCGGGTTCTAAGTGCGAAAGGTATGTAAGCAGTATTTAACATGTTTAGTTTGGGTTGTACATAATTAAGAGAGCAATATAGGCAATACTTAACATGATCATTCCGGGTTGCAGGTAGGGTTTCTGCTCCAGGGCTCAGGGTTGAGACAACGCTTGGCAACTCTCAAATAAGTATATGATTCACACCCAGCTTCCCGAGACATTACGACCACTTCATTTTTACAGGCGTATCCCGCGATGATATCGCAAAACTTTCGCTTGCGTGCTAGATTGTGAAACTTGTCTTCCGTCTCTGCAATGCCCGCTGTCAAGACTTTGTCAATGAAGTTCGCAACTCTGCTCGCCCGCATTTTCTGCCAAACGTGTTGGCGAGTTTCGCAAACCAAGTGGCCCGTTTCGTGTAAAGAAATTGCGGAACCCCGAATTTCCCGGAACTGCCTGCGTTGATTTAACAAGACTCGTAATTGTGCAATTTCTGCGATGCCCATGATGCCTCTGCCGAATTTCACTCCAGTGCCTAAAGATGTTGTTGGCAACTCCACCCATTTGCTTCCGCAGCGATGGCACAGATCAGTGAGAATTTGTAGTCGCACAAATGGCCCAACCGAACACCGCTCTTTCAACATAGCTTCTGTGAGTTGTCGCTTGTACGGAACCAGTGTAGGTAGCGGGACCCAATCACGGTACTCTTGGCACCAACGCCGATGCTTTGCCACGCATGCGCTGCTGTTGCTGTAGCCATAAACCCGATAAGGTAATAATTCCATCGATACCGGCTGTTCTGGCAAAACGCCCCGCTTCCCAAATCTCGACGAAATGACGCAAATAGCCCTGCAGCGAAACGATTCACGGACAAAATTGTCGACGCCACGCATGTCCGGTTTCTTCTTGATTGTAACAGAAGACAGCAGCCTTTTGTACATAGCATCGTCCTTTTTTGACGCATTGCCCCATGGCTGGAGACGGCGCTTTGCTTGCTGTAACCTCGATGCAACTTGCCGCAATACCACCATGTCTCGCCAACTGCAGCTCTTCAACAAAATGGCCAACAATTGAGCTCTGCGGTGTTTGGCAGCACGAGACGCCTGTACCAATTTGCGGATCTTAGTGTAAGAGTGCACGACTTCTGTGAGAGCTTTTAGATGGTCGCGAGAGTTGTGCAAAACACGCCAACGTTTCACCGCTCGCTGACGTCGCTTCTTGTCTACGGCAGGTTCAATGTCTTTGTGGCATAATACTGCTTTCATTCTAATTGTGAGTGGTGAAACGACGTAGTATATCCTATTCTATGAAAAACTACACGGCGCGATAATATCTTACATTATACTGCATTGTGCTCTATCATTACGGTATGTAAATGTTTGACGTGATACTGTCGTGTAACGTGCCCTCTTCACTCATGCTTGGGTCTATGGGCTCCGGGGCTTAGGGCTTTAGAGTTTAACGCTGAAGGTGCAAGCTAGCAAGAATTGAGCCCGAATTTGAAATCGGTGAGGTTTGTGGCCTAATCCCAGAACCCAACGATTTCATTGATTGAAATAAGGCTGTAATGTGTCAGGTCGCTGTGTCCAGGAGCCTTCCAAAGTAGGATTTTCCTTGTGAATATACTTTCAATAGAAGGGATGAAGTGACACACTAGAGGGCTTGTAATGTGTTAATTCGTTATGCCCAAGTCAATAGAGTTTGAACAGGGGAAGTGGAGTAACACTTTACAGGGCATGTAATGTGCCAATCTGTTATGTCCTGGACTTTCCAGTGTATAAGTTCCTTGTCGGTAGAGGGTCAATCGGAGTGGGTGGAGTGACACATTAGGGTGCCTGTAATATGTCAATTTGATATGCCCAGGTACAGGGGCCTGACAGTGTCTAAGTTCCTTGTTAGTAGGGTTTCAGTAGGAGAAATGAAGTGACACATTAGAGGGCATGTAATATGCCAATTTGCCCAGTCCAGGACCCAGGAAGTGAAGATACACATTATAGTGGGTTTAATGTGCCAGTTTGTTATGTCCATAAAAAGTGCTTTCCGATGTATCAATTTCTTATCAGTATGGTTTCAATAGGATAGGTGGAGCGACACATTATAGGGCCTGCAGTGTGTCAGTTTATTATGTCCAGGGGTTTTCTAGTGGAAAAGTTCCATTGCAATAGAGGTTCCATAGGAAGGAGTGGAGTGACACATTAGAGGGCCTGTAATGCGTCAATTTATACTACCCAGAGACCTTCCAATATACAGATGCCCTACAGTGTATAAGTTCCTTGCCTTTAGGGTTTCAATAGGAATAATGACACATTAGAAGGCCTGTAATGTGTCAGTTTGTTTTCCCATGTGCCTTCCAATGTATCTCTATACATATCGGATCTGATGTGATCACAGCATTAGCCAAGAAGGATATCACGTAGTTAATAGTCTTCACGATCTTAACAAAGGCGCAATTATCCGTATCGAAGGTATACATTCCCATGAAAAAATCCCTATAGATCCCTTCACAGATCCCTTGTATGGAGCCCTCATAGACAGCTTTTATAGATTCGTATAGAAACTTTATAGATCCCTTATATAGAGAACTTATAGAAACCCCGTATAGATCAACAAATGGAGTTCTTTGTAGAAAACTTTACAAGATCCCTGACATGGAGCTTTCATAGACAACTGCTATATATTCCTTACCCTTTGTATAAACCACATGGAAGCTCTGTATAGATCCCTCGTATGGAGCCCTTCTGGAAAACCCTTACAGATTGCTTATAGAAATCTTATAGATCCTCTATGTAGAGATCCCTTACAGAGAGACTTTCTAGAAACCCATTATGGATCCCTCATATGGGGCCTTTATAGTAAGCCCGGTTACAAAGTATGTAGATGCGATGTGGTAAGCTATTCTTGATATAGTAGTTAAGATAAATCGATTGTATTATGGTTCGTACAATACCTATGAAATTACCTTTAAGAATAGAGGGAGCGGTATTAAAACCAATGAAACCGGCAACGAAGATGATGACGATGAAGAAGATGATGAAGATGATGGAGATGATGAAGATGATGGAGATGATGAAGATGATGGAGATGATGAAGCTGATGAAGATGATGCAGATGATGGAGAGGGGGTGGGGTGTCCGCAGCCCTGTTGGACCCTAATGGGTTCGTGGTGGGGGTGGGGGTAGTGGGTGGGGTGGGGGAGGGATGTGAATGGGCAGGG